ACGTGCGCTCACTGGAGAGACAGAGACACGCAAAGTGAGAAATCGTGCCCCGAGGGATGGCCATGCCACAATCCCTTCTCTTCCCTTCTCCTCTTAGGATCTTGGGCACGCATACACACATGCCTAGTGTGAGTTTAAAGCCACTGGGTCCAGGAGTTGAACTATGGTCGACTACTTGGGAGTCCAGCAACATAACCATTACTCCATCAGTAATTTGTTGTGATTTTTCAAGCTGCCAAGACCAGGCCTTGAATGGCAGTTGGCCAATTGGGAATCCAGCATCTTAACAACTATGCCATCTGCTGACTCCTCCTCACCACCTAACTTTATATTACAAAGCAGTGATAATCAGAACAGCATGGTACAGACATAAAAATAGATAGGCAGACCAATGGGACAGAACAGAGAATCCAGAAATAAAGCTCAAATCATACAGTCAACTGATCTTCAACAAAAGGCAGAAAACAGCGCAATGGTGGAAAGAAAGTCTTTAGCAAACAGTGTTGGAAGAATTGGATATCCAATCAAACTGGACCCCATCTCTCACTATTAACTAGAATTAACTAAAAATGGATCAAAGATTTAAAGATAAAGCCTCTAACTACAAAAGTACTAGTAGAAAACATACGAACAACTTTTAAAGACATTAGAATAGGCAGAGATTTTTAAGATAATACCCCTATTGCACAGGCAATGGTCCCTAAAATAAACAAGTGGGATAACAAACTAAAAAGCTTCCTAATCACAAAGAAAACTATAACTAGAGTGAAAAGACAACCCTCAGAATAGGAGAAAATACCCACAAAAAATGATTACTCAGACAAGGGACTGATACCTGGAATATAAAGACAATTCAAGCAGCTTGCCTCCCAAAAATGCATAATACAATTTAAACATGGGTGAATGAACTGAATAGACAACTTTTCAAGGAAGACTTTATGACGTCAAGTCTTTGTCGTCAGCCAAGAGGCCTATGAAAAAATGTTCGAAATCTTTTGTCATAAGGGAAATACAAATAAAAACTACAATGTTAGTTTTAGTCTAGTCAGTTAGAAGGACTAGGATCTGGGACTAGTAGAGGGTATAATGGTCACTGGACTCTCACATGGCCAGTCATGGTTCGAGTTCCAGATTCAGAGGCTTAAAACTCACGCTGGGTACAAAGGTGTACATGCCAAAATCCTGAGGAAAATGGAGAAAAGGTGGCCACCCACCCTGGGGATTTGATTTCTCACTTTCTGTCACTCTGGCAAGTGCACATGCCCTATAACAAAAATCTCTCTGGATTAAAAAAAAATTTTTAAAAAAGAGGGGCCAGTAGGTGGCATGGTGGTTAAAGGCGCTGGATTCCCACATGGCCGACTATGGGGCTTACTTTCTCTCTCTCTCTGTGGTCCAACTGAAATAAAGAAATGAATAAAATTAAATTAAATAATTCTTTAAAAAAAAAATAGCTAGCATCAAAAAATCTAAAGAACAACAAGTACGTGCAAGGCTGTGGTAAAAAGGGAACTCTCTTACACTGCTGGTGGGAATGTAAATTTGGGCAACCTCTATGAAAAACAATACAGAGGTGTCTCAAAAACCTACCTAACAGCGGGATCAGCAGTTAGCCTAGTGGCTATGTGGCCGGACTCCCATGTAGTCGACCACGGTTCGCATCCCGGACCCGGTGGCTTAAAACTCACGCCAGGCACGTGTGTGTGCGCACCCAGGATCCCAAGAGAACGGAGGAGAAGTGATTGCTGCGTGGCCATCCCCTCTGGGGGGTGATTTCTTGCTTTCTGTCTCTCTGTCTGTCTCTGTCTGTCTGACAAGCACACGTGCCCTATAGCAAAAATCTCTCAAAAAAAAAACCTACCAAACAGGGGCCAGCAGGCAGTGTGGTGGTAAAGAGCACTGGACCATGGTTCGCGTTCCGGATCTGGTGGCTTGCTTTCTCATTTTCTCTCTCACTCTCGCTCTCACTCTGTCCCTCTCTGGTCAAATTAAATAAGTAAATCTATAAATAAAGTTAAATAAAGTATTTTTTAAAAATCCTATGAACAGAGCTTCGATATGACCTAGTAGTCCCATTGGTATTTACCTGAAGAATAGGAAAAGACTCAATCAGAAAGACATCTGCACACCCATGTTCATTGCAGCAATTACTAAAACAGAACCAATGCCTAAAAATTGATGACTAGGTTAAAAAACTGGCACAAATATCCTATTACTCAGCTATAAGGAATAGTATCTGGGGCCCGCAGTAGCATTGTGGTAAGGTGCTGAACTCCCACATGGCTGACCTTCGTGTTGAGTCCTGGACCTGGCAGCCTGAAAAATCTCCCCAGGTGTGTGTCCAAAATCCCTAGAGGAGAATGAAGAAGGGATTGCCCCCATAGGGAGGAATTTCTCACTTTCCCTCACTGTCTCTGGTCTGTCTCCTTCCTCTTTGGTGAGTGCAAATGTCCTATGGCAAAAGAAAGAAAAGAAACAGAAACGATCAATGAGATTCAATATGAACGAATATAGACTCAAATGGATGAACACAGAAGGCTTAATGTTGAGTGACGTGAGCCAGGATTTTAAACGTAGACGCTGTATTTGTACTGACTGCTACAGCAGAGACTGAGACCAGGAAGTGTCAGTGGGGAGAGGAGAGGATGCTAGAGAGTAGATGTGAGGTACAAGGGGACGAAACATTTGACAGACGGAAAAAAGTAAAACAAAAAACAAAATGTAGCACAAGTGCAAACTGCCAGTAACCAGACACGTCTGAATCCATGCCTCTGTTCCTGCCACCAGCTGGATTTTTATTTGCACTGGTTTCCCCAATCATGTTAGCTCAAACCATGCACTGTTGAGGGTCTTCCTGGAGCCGCAACGGGCCTTTTCTGGAGTGGACAATGTAGTTATCTAAACCAACAAGTTAAAGAAGATTTTACTTTCACCTGTACATTTTCACAAAGTTCTTTGAGATATGGAGGCGCTATCCTAGTGGTTTCAGATTTAGTATATCACACTGGTGCTTTAAAAATTATGACCAAGACCCCACTTTGACAGTCACTTTGAAAAAAATAAAAAAAAGGGAACCAGCAGTTAGCGTAATGGCTATGTTGCTGGACTCCCACATAGTCGACCATGGTTCGCATCCTGGACCCAGTGGCTTAAAACTCACACCGGGCACGTGTGCGTGCGTGCCCAAGATCCTGAGAGAATGGAGGAGAAGGGATTGCGGTGTGACCATCTCCCCTGGGGGGGTGATTTCTCGCTTTCTGCCTCTATGTCTCTCTCTGTCTGTCTGGCGAGCGCACACACCCTATAGCAAAAATCTCTCCAAAATAAATAAATAAATAAATAAAAATAAATAAATAAAATAAAAAATAAGAATGTACTCAAATGGATGGTAAAATAAAGACAAGGACCAGCAGATGGCGTAATGGTTACATCACTGGACTCCCACAGTCGACCATGATTTGAGTACCAACCAAGCAGCTAAAAACTCGTGATGGGTGCACATGTGTACATGTCCAAGATCCCAAGACAATGGAGGAAAATGGACTGACGTGGCCATCCCCCCAGGATGTCTCACTGTCTCTGTCTCTCTACCAAGCACGCACACCCTCTATAGCAAAAAAACTCTAAAAAATAATAATAATAATTAAGTGAATAAATAAAATACAAAAAGATAGCACCTACTACTAATCTATTATTAGGATAGGATGTGGAACAACTGGCATTCTCTAATATTCTGTTAAGGAAGGACCTAGATTACTTGAGATAACTGTTTCCAAGAATATACTCAAAAACACAGGCATCTCCAGTCATCTAACAATTCTTTCATTCATATACCCCAAGTAACTATGTATGTTCATCAGAAGACATGTACAGAAAGAAATGTTCTTTTTTTTTTTTTACTTGCCAGAGGAGAGGGTACCTGCACTCCCCAGAGAGAAAGAAAGACTCCTACAATGGGGCGTGACCCACAGTCCCTTCTCCATTTCTCCACCCTATGGGACTTTGGGACACAAGTACACACACTCAGCATGTTTCCAAGCTCCCAAGGCCAGGACTACCTGACTACCTTAACCACTAGGCAACAGGTTCAGCTCAATAGCACTATCCTTAAAAGCCCCCAACTGGAGGGACCAGCAGGTAGTGTGGAGGCTAAGGGTGCTGGACTCCCACATAGCTGACATGGGTTCAGGTCCTGGACCTGGAGGATTGCCTTCTCACTTTCACTTTCTCTCTCTCTCTCTCTCTGGTCAAATTAAAATAAATAAATAAAGTTAAATAAAATTCTATTTTTTTTTTTGGAGAGGTTTTTGCTATAGGGCACGTGCGCTCGCCAGAGAGACAGAAAGCAAGAAATCACCCCCTAGGGGGGATGGTCACGCCGCAATCCCTTCTCCTCCAT